ATATGTATATGTATATAAAAATGAGCAACAAGTCCCAATGTTTCCTCCAAAGTCCAGCCATCCAATTTCTCTATCGTGTGTGTATATACATATATTTCAACCCTCAAGCAACTATGTAAGTGAAATCAGTTCAGCCACTAATTTCCTCCCTGTTCGTAGTCTGATGTGTATATGTTTATTTAACCCAGCAGCACTTTTAATCCAGTTGGCGTGTATAATTCTAGTAGGTTGGCAGCCTCTTTTTGTTTGTAGAAAAAAACTCCTTCAGCCCCTGTTGAACTCACAAGCGGCCACCCAGATTTTTTTCAAACTAATTCTCTTCTCTCTACTCGTGTCTCCAATCTTTTTCTTTGCTTTCTTTCCAGCAACTCTGCCCTTGTTTTTTGCCCAATTTCAGCAACTTGTATGTATAATATCTTTCTCTTTCAGCCACCTAATTAATCCTCTATTTGAGGTGGAATTCCAATTGGTCTCCCCTCTTCTCTTTGGCAGTTTATTTAATTCCCTCGGCTCTAGGTTTTCTTCCTCTTCTCTTTCTCTCCGCTAGCTGTTCTAGTTCTCTTTCTCATGAAAACTGATCTGCATGGTTTTTAATAGTAAAACCTAGGAAAATTTACAGCTTTGGTCCCTGAAGTTTGGAGAAGTATTTAAAATGACCCCCAATAATTAAAATGGCCCACAAGCGCCCAATTCACTGTAATTGGCCGCCAAATAAATGGATTTTGTGTCATTTGTAGCCAAGTCCCTCAATAATTGCATCTCAAATCCTCCACTTTTTGACTTGTATGCTTTGGCCCCCAACTTCCATCAATGGCCAATTTAATCCCCGTGTTTTGGATTTTGTCACTTTTCGTCAATTTTTGCTTCTTTCCTTTCCTTCTTCGTCCAAGCACAATTTTTACCTAAGAAAATTAATACAATAAAATTTAGATCATATTTTGCCAAAAGAACAATAAAATTATATAGTTTAGAGCCCCGAATAAGTGTAGAAAATACACTTATCAGAAGATATCATGATGAAGTGATAGATGATGTAGTTCCTATGCACGCTGGGCACATTTTGTTAACGAGGCCATGGCAATATGATAGGAAGGTGATACATGATGGGTACAAAAATAGGTATAGCTTTACCAATGATAAGATCAAATCAACTTGAAAAGTGAGGAAGAAAATAGAGTGGGAGAAATAGAAAGCGAGAGAGAAGATTGTGAGACGACTAGTAGTGAGAAAAAAGAGTAGAGCCAGAAAAGAGAAGAAAAAGAGTCTTCCAAGAGGAGAAAAAAGTCGAGTGTGAATTTCTTTGCAAAAGGGAGTAGGTTGAAGAGTGCAGTAGTTGAAAGCAACCTATGATCATGTTGGTTTATAAGGAGTCACTACTCAATTTTGAGGAATATAACACACCCCTTCCTAACTTGGCTACTTCTTTATTGCAAGAATTCGAAAAGGTGTTTCTAGAGGACATACCTAGTGGGTTACCACCCATTCGAGGCATTCTACATCTAATTAATTTTGTACATAGAGCTGTCATTCCAAACATGCAAATACCAAAGTAGTTCCAAGGAACTTCAAAGGCAAGTAGAAGAACTGATGAGTAAGGAGTATGTGAGGTAGAGTATGAGTCTATGTGTCGTGTCAGTGCTATTCGTGCCAAAGAAAGATGGAACCTGAAAGATATGTATGGATTGTCGGGCTATCAACAATATAATAGCAAAGTATAGTCATCCTATTTCTAAGTTAGATGATATGTTAGATGAATTACATGGCTCATGCATATTTAGTGAAACTGATCTTATAAGTGGTTATCACCAAATTAGGATGGGGGAAGGAAATGAATGGAAAATCGCTTTTAAAACTAAATATGGGTTGTATGAGTGGTTAGTCATGCCATTTGGACTTACTAAAGCACCAAACACGTTTATGTGATTAACGAATCATGTTTTGCATCCATTCATAGGTAAACTCGTGGTAGTTTACTTCGATGACATATTGATATGTAGTAAGGACTTAAATGAAAATATATGGCATTTAAAATATGTGCTTGTAGTCTTAAGACAAGAACAACTTTACGCTAATGTTAAAAGTGTGCATTTTCATGGAAAAAGTTGTTTTTCTTGGATTTATTGTTGGAGGAAAGGGGATAGAAGTGGATGAGGAGAAAATCAAGGCAATCAAAGAATGGCCAACACTTAAAAGCATAATTGAAGTAAAAAGCTTTCAAGATTTAGCTAGCTTCTATAAGCGTTTTGTTAAATATTTTAGTACAATTGCTACACCACTCATGAAAATTGTCAAGAAAAGCGTAGGATTTTAATGGGATGTTGAACAAGAACATGAATTTAATACTATTAAAGATATGTTGTGTAAGGCACCGATTTTATCACTTTCTAACTTTGACAAAACTTTTGAAATTGAAAGTAATGCCTTAGGGATAGGTATTGAAATCGTTTTAATGCAAGATAGAAGGCCAATAGCTTACTTCAGTGAAAAACTAGGTGGAGCAGCTCTCAATTATCCTACATATGACAAGAAGTTGTATGCACTTGTTCAGACACTGAAAATATGGCAGCACTACCTATGGCCAAAGCAGTTTGTGATTTACACCGAGCATGAGTTCTTAAAGCATTTGAGGGGTCAATGTTGCTAAACAAAAGACATGCAAGGTAGTTGGAGTTCATCGAGACATTTCCGTATGTCAATCGGTATAAATAATGTAAAGAAAATGTGGTAGCAAATTTTTTTCAATAAGGTATGCACTTCTAACTTTTTTAGTGCTAAATTGCTGGGATTTGGATCTATTAAAGACATGTATGCTATTGACCCCGATCTATCTAACATATATAAATCATGTGATAAAGGTGCTGTAGATAGATTCTTTAGGCATGATAGGTATTTATTTCGAAAAAACAAGTTGTGTGTTCCTAAATGTTCAATGAGAGAATTGTTAGTACCTAAAGTACATAGTGGAGGTTTATTGGGTCATTTTAGTGTTAAGAAGACCTTAGAGATGCTAGATGAACATTTATATTGGCCTAAGATGAAAATTGAAGTTGATCGGGTTCCAATAGATGCATATCACTTATAAAAGGTTAAGTCTAAGGTTTTACCACAAAGTTTGTATACACCCTTACCTATTCCTAGTGAACCTTAGCTTGATTTGTCTATGGACTATGTGTTGGGTTTGCCTTAGACTAAGAATGGAGAGATTCCATATTTGTGGTGGTAGATAGATTTAGTAAGATGACACTTTTCATTCAATGTCATAAAACTGATAATGTTATCCATATTGCAGTTCTATTCTTTAAAGAAGTAGTGCACTTGCATGGGATTCCTAGGAGCATTTATCAGAAAGGGATGTTAAATTCCTTAGTCACTTTTGGAGAATTTTGTGGAATAAATTCGGCACTATGTTATTGTTTCTACTACTTGTCACATACAAACTGATGGAGAAATTGAGGTTATTGATAGGACCGTGATACAATTATTACGCACTATAGATAATAAGATTTAAAGAGTTGGGAAGAATGTTTACAATTCATTGAATTTGCATATAATAGGGCCGCACATTCTACTATTTCTTCGCCCTTTGAAATTGTATATTGTTTTAATCCACTAACACCTTTGAATTTAATTCCTTTACATGTTGATGAAAGAGGTAGCTTAGATGGACAGAAGAAGGCCAACTTGGTAAAATCACTCCATAAAAAGGTAAGATTGTAAATTAAGAAGAAGAACAAGCACTACGCTTTTTAAGTAAACAAAAGACGGAAGAGCGTTACATGAGGATTGGGTTTGGATACACTTGAGAAATGAACGCTTTCCAGAACAATGAAAATCAAAGTTGCAACTACGGGAAGATTGTCCATTCCAAGTCTTTGAAAGGATTAATAACAACGCCTACAAACTAAGTCTTCCTTATGAACATAATGTTTCGGTTACTTTTAATGTCTTTAATCTTTCTCTGTGATTCAGGTACAGATTTGAGATCAAACTCTTTCGAAGAGGGATGGGATGAAGTGATCCATGCCACGAAGGCAAGTCCAGGCAAAAATCCATTGATCACTTAAGAAGGGCCTATGAGTAGGTCGCGAGCGAAAAGGTTTAAAGAAGCAATGAGACTACTTGCTTAAGTCACAGTGGACGAAACATGAATCATGATAAGCAAAGAAACAAGACTTGTGTTAGAGTCGGAAGATTACAGTCGATGGATCAACTTGGTTCAAGCAATAGACGAAGGAGTTGAAAGGGGGCCTATGCGACCGCATAGTGAAAAACTACATGCGGCCGATGTAACAAGGCAAAAAATCCAGCTGAAGAGTTCTATGCGACCGCGCGGTCGTGTTGATTATTTAGTTCAGTAATTTTGGATCAAACTCTAAATATTGATTCTTGGCTTTCTTAGATTTGAATTAATCTTGTGTGGAATTAGTAGCTACTATTGCTACGTGAGTTCGCATTATATGAGCCAAGATTTTGGTATTCAACCAAGAATCGAAGATTATGGTTGCATAGTCTATATGCTTGGACGAGCAGGGTTCATCGACAAAGCGTTTAAGTTCATAAAGATCATGCCTATTAGATCAAATGCTGTAAGCAGGCTGGCTAAGTGCCTAACACTGCAGAGGAAAGACTAGATGTTGAAAGATGTGATAAAGAGAATCAAGCCATTCCTTTTGTCCTCATTAGGATTTCCCCAGCGGCTGCAATAAGGATATCGAAAAATCTGAGAATATGCAAACTGCACAATGCTATAAAATTTAATATCAAAAGTTTATGATAGAGAAATTGTCATCAGGGACAGGAACCGTTTTCACGTCTTCAAAGATTGATCGTGCTCCTACAATGATTTCTGGTGAACTACTATTGGGTCTCCAATAGGGACATACATGTTGAGTTCTAATAAGTTAATAGTCCGTGTATCTCATTATCATCTCTTCAGGACTGGAACCTATAGGCTATCGAGTGATTTCTTATTCAGATTAACAAACTTCTAGCACACGGTCAAAGCCAAAGAACACCATGTAGCCATAACCAGGTATAAATATCATCAGATACATAAACAACTAGTAGATGAGTTCACTGCACATAGCTCCGACAGTTGACTGGGAAATTCACATGTATACTAGAAAAAAATCCCAGCAAAACATGATGAACAGGCACCATAACGAGCTCCTAACATCCGTACATTTATTTATAGCTTTTATATACTAATTAACAGGGCGATATTGGACCTTTTATTTAGACTACTGCTCCTCTCCATCGATAAGATCCATGACCACAAGCGTAATACTTCCATCGTTCTTCTTCAGCAGTTTCTTGTTCAGTTCTGTATCGTGAAAACCCTGCATCAGCAACCCATAGAATCCAATATGGTAAGAATCCACGTCGAATTGGGAAAAAAAATAAATAAATAAATAAATGTATATATATATATATGAGGAGAATGGATGAAATGAAAAGAAATAGAAAACTAAACTCACCATCTCCCGAAGTTCCTCGAGAATAGTATTCCATTCAGAAACTCCACAAAGATCATCCACTGTTTTCTGCAAGTCATAATCATTCTTCCTCAAAATCTCCTTGTTCAAATCAACCAGTGTAAAGCCCATTGCCTCAAGTTCCCCAAGTAGTTTCTCCTCTACTTCATTCTTTTCTGATACCAGTTGGGGTGGATTTGCCAGAAGTGGAAGCACCACAGGAGCAGGTGGAGCTTGAGAAGGTAAAGGCGGTGCTACCTCTGAGAGATCAATAATAGGATACGGTAAAAATGAAGGTGGTGCCGAAGGGACAAAGTTTGATGCAGCACCACTGCCAACCAACAAGCTATCATTGATGGGGAATCTCTTTTCGTGCTCATTGCCTGGCTGTGCATCAACAATTGATTCCCCTACTTCCATGGTGTCATTGGAGTTAATGGGCTCAGGGTGACTGTCCTCCACCATTGGTTTTAGATCCAAATTTATTATTTCTGGCCCAGTTAAGTCGTTGCTTGGAGGCGGCAAATTAAGATTCAAGTCACGAACACTTTCATGTGGTGTCTCCTTAATAGAAGCATCAACCTACAGAACACAAAGGGATTGCCAAAATGTACTCTGTTAAAAGTAAGACATTAACAAAGCATGTTCGGGAAGTGATTAAATTGATATTAAGTGGGTAGTAGTTGTGGGTCCTACGAAATAAGTGGATAAAAAGTATGTTTGACCAGCTTGAATTATAAGCTAATCACACTTTCCAAAGATGAAAGATGCATTATTTAGTGTTGTTAACATAACATTGCCCTACCTGGATGAGAACCCAAATACGTTGTCCAAACTTTTGGCCAGTAGGCAAGGCCATCCTCCAGTATGAGATATACTGACCAGGAATCTTAGGAGCAATAAAATCAACTGCGACATCTAGCTCCTGTTCTACTGGTAAACCAGCTGCAGGAACCTGACATTGCATTGGATATGAATAAGTAAAATCAATTAAAATATTTAGTAGATAAATAAGGTGATACCATTCACTTGCAGACCCAAAATACAAGACAATAAGATAAGTCTAATCAATTACTAAAAGTAAAAATTGAGAAACAAAAATGTATAACTCAAGTATCCCTGTTATGTCAATCCAGTAAGCTTCCATTCAGAAGAGGAGAATGAAATTAAAAAGAAAAATAAGAAATGATTCATAACAAACAAGTAGGCCTATAAACACGTCAAAGGGACATAAGACTCTGACCAGACTCGAAAGGGAAAAAAATGAAAAAATTAAGAGGCTATATTAATATTACAATGACAACAAACCTCCACATCGATAGCAAGCGCATTATTTAGTTTGTCTCCTCCAATCCACACAAGTTGTGTTCTCTGGGGCCACACAACTGTACCATTGTTTCTCATCCGCCAAATCTTGGTAAATGGAGTTAAAGGGGCCATCACAGTATCATCTATGATATTCACATCCTGAATGAAGCGACTGTCAAATTTGGGTGCAACTGGTTTAACCTTGAAACCCATGATAGCCTGTGGAAGTGTTGCAGCCCGAGCCCTGGCATGCTGCAACTGGGAAAATACAATAAGAGCAACACGACTCAAAAATAGGGAAGAATGGGCATATGCTAAACTAATGCTTATAAAGAAACAAAAAGAAATGGTGATACATACACGGCCATGCAACCCCTTGCTAGGTAAGGGGCGTTGATAAGGCATTGGATGATCCATTCTGATGTAGTCAGCATCATTTTCCATTTCTGCAAAGCAGATTCTGCAAAGATCATAATCCTCTTTTCTGCAGAGACAAAGTAAATAGGTGGATCTCAGGGGATCCATAATGACAGCTAAATTGTAAATTCATAAGAGAAATTTTTACTTTGGGATCTTACACTTTTGACTTGAATCTAGGACCAGTTATTGGGTAGACCCCACAACCATCGCAACGAATGCCCCAATGGAAGATACTTCCAGTGCCATCATTCTGACTAATGCTTCTTCTTTGAGAATCAGAATGTGATGGGATAGCAGAGTCATTTCCTGCAGGTACTGCAGAAAATGAAATCTCATCCACAGGATTAGGGTCCATCCAAATGTCATCATTAGATAAATATTTTAAACTGCCATCTGGATCGTTCCATGGTGTATGTGCGGGATAACTAGTGGGAGCACCCAACTTGGCATTCTTCGATCGGAGACAATATAGCCCAGAATTAAGAACCTTCTGGGAGTAATTAGAAGGTATAAAATGAGTCTCACTTGAATCAGAACTGGAGGTTCCTGTGAAGAATTTTTCTTGTGAGAAAGAAGAGACAGGAACATCGCTCGGTTTAGGATCCAAGCCTAATGATTCACATAGAGAATCAACACAAGGGTTGTCAACATCAACATTCACAGCTTTCGAAGATGAGGCCTCCATGCTACCTCCTTTTACAGTTCCCAGTTTGACCTCACTTATTTCTGAGGTAGTCTCAGGTATGTATTTTGCCAAGTTCTCATGGCTTTTCAAAGATCTCTCATCTGGTCTGATGCTTGGGACATTTGATGTCGATGGAAAAAACTCAGAGGAATTCCAGAGCTTAGTGTCTGTGGTACTTTCACGAAACTCATTCTGGGCATTAGACTGCACTACAGGTTGGGAATCAGAAAGATGATCAAGGTAGGACAGACCCATCTCTGAGAAGTGGTCAACAAGCTCGGCTATACCTGGCACAGATGAGGACACTTTTGATGCCAACTCAGTCAAGAGCTTCTTTACAGTTTCCTGTAGAGGTTCCGGTACAGTTTTCAAAATTTCGAAGATATTGGGGTTCAGATTCTGAAAGGGTGTCTGAACTGGAGACAAGGGAGGAAAACTTCCGCTTGAAGGAGGACATTTCACAGTAATCCTCAAGGGGTTCAGGGCCTGTCTCACCACATCACGCAGATCATCATCATCAATAAGTGCTACCTCATCACCATCTTCATCAACATAGGTCAGCGTGAGCAACGTATCTGCAGGAAAGTCGAAGAGGAAAAATATTTGTCTTCTTAGTCCATCCATATTGAAATTCAGTCCCTCATCAATAATTTTGGCAATGAAGCGCCTGAGTGTATCCCCATACCTGACCTGTAGAAATGTCACCATAGTAGCAAAATTAATAATCAAAGCAATTCAGATGATACAAACCTAGGTACAACCAAGTTGTCAAGTGTGACTAATAAGAGTTGAGAAACTCAAAACTTAAGTGAACTGATGGATAAATATCTATACCAAAGATAGCTTTCAAACCATGAAAACAAAAATAGTCTCATTCATTATAGCTCAGAAAACATGAAAACAAAAACTAACAACTTCAGCATTGAAAAAGCATAAAAAGGGATCTCTGTATGCAAGTTCACGAATTTTGACAAGATTGAGTCTATAAAATTCGGAAAATTCATCTCAAGCAGATTTATTAAAAAATGGAATACCAAGCAAGCCCAGAACAAAAAAATTGTTAGAAACAATGATATCCACAAGAATTTAACCCCCCCAAATTTCTTTTAACCAAGCAAAAAGAGAGAAATCTAAGTGTCCAGTGAGTTTTCATCTATACGTTACAAAATTACTTGGATCTTAGAGAAGATCAAATCCCGAAAGATAACACCCAACTTAACATGCCCAAAAAAAAAAAAGAAAAGAAAAGAAAAAAAGAAACGAAAAGGGACATCTAAACCCAAACTAGCCCAACATGAGAATCCATCAAAATATCCAAATGCCAAAAAATCAACAATTTCACAATACAAACGCAACATAAAAATTAAAATCGATCATCAAACCATTAAGAAAAAAAGAGAGAAAAAACTCACCTTGATAACCACGGTAGAAGCCTCCATAGCTTGCAACAAAAGCCCAGATTCCAAATCGCCTTACAGATAAACCCACAAATATAATTGTTTTTATAGTTAGAACACAAACTTGAGAGAAGCACCTCAGCCCTGTAATTAAATGGAAACCAACGTCGAAAAAGCCAAGTAATCAAGGAAATTTTCCGGTTATTTAGTTAGATTAAAGCCGTAATCGAGCTCCAATTGTTCTCTCTCTAACGAACTGTGAGAATTGGGAGTTGAATGGATGCAAAGTTGTGTACTGTAGAGCTTGAACGAGAAAGCAGAGGATGAATTTTTTTATCTTTAATTGTTATTTTTATTTTTTATTTCTTTTCTTTTCTTCTTCGCAAAGAAAACTTTAGGGTATGAAAACCAAAGTCGTCGTGTTTCTCATAAATTGAAGGAAAACAAAGAGTTTTTTCCACAAGGCCTTCATATGGTGCTAATTACACTTGCCTTGCACATAATTTCTATGGATTAAACCCCCCGTCCCCAAGCCGGGACAGGGAGCACGATTGAATTTCTATTCAGTACATTGACACGCAAAATCGGATTCAATTGTTGAACTACCCTTTTCAAAAATATGATTGTCTAGCAATCACAAAAAAACTATGATTAATCCTTTTTCATTTTCAAAAATTCTTAGTCTTGGTTTGGGCTTTTTAGGAGAATTGGAACTTTTTTCGATTTATTACGTATAATATAATAAGTAGTAATTGACAAAACTTTTTATCAACCCCGAAAGTGTACTCCCTCCAAATAATTTGTATTTCGAACAATTCAACAACTTTTGAATCACGATCAAGGGCAAAATTCATCTAAACTAGTGATGATGCTTGCTTCCTTTCTCATTTTGGTGCTTGATTAACCCTATCTCCCATGTGTAGTTATTCACTTGCTTGTACCACTTAATATTTCAATGGCAAGTTGATCAACAATTTCTCATTTCACCTTTTATTAAAAAAATATCCTTATTATGATACTTTACTATTTCAAGATAAATTTGGTTGAAATGGACGAATTATCTCATTTGATATGATCTAAGGGGCTATGGCCAACCATAAAACTTTGATTAACAGAAAGTAATTCTAAAATAATTATAATTTCTTTTACATATAAATAAGAGTAGTATAAATATCATTAGGTGCCAAGCGTGTAGAATCGTAGAACAATAATTAATGTGATGAGTTGTTTTCGGTGGAAGATGAATGGAACAAATTTTGGTTTTAATGACATTATTAGTAGAACAATGTGATGTTTACATGCGTGTATTACAGGGAAAATGTACACAACTCCGCTGGACAAAATTTCACTAGGCGTTGAGCAAGCAATAAATAAATGTGTCATACAAGTGCTACTATCTCAACACCTGTAAAATTGTTTGCATGGACGGACCCAAGGGAGGTCCTGGGGTCAAGTGACCACAATTTTTTTTTTTTTTTGGTAGATGAGTCCTATTTGGTATTAGTTGAAATTTTAATTTTAATTTTAATCAAAATTAACAATTAATTTTAATAACATATTCAATGAAAATTCTTAACTTTTATCAAAATATACTAAAAATCTGATTTTAAACTCCATTAAATAGGGGTAAAATCACAATAAATTTGAATTTTTTTCCTATTTCCTCTTACTCTATCTCACGCTCTTCCTTACACCTTTTATCAAAACCTTAATTATTCTAATTTTTGAATCAAAATATAGCTTCTAAACCACAACTAGGTGCAACGTACCAATGAGACTGATAGAGTGGATAAATCAATACAAGGGTGTAATGATTTGTATATAACTTTGTATGACTTTTCTCTACTATTTTTCGGGAGTTACGAAAGAAGCTTCGAGCTCATATTGGTCATTGGTTAAGAGGGGGAGGTCTGTTGTTGATTGGAAATTGGAAATGGATATTCAAAAGAAATGATTACTTAATTATAATATTGATTTTGGAATCTGTATATTTTGTGGTAATTGGGTTAAGATATGACAATGGGTTGCTCAGGATTCGAACCTGGAACTAGTTTAAGAATTTGTCTATAATTTTTCTACAAATTATCAAATATACTACAAATTTTTACTTTTCAATTAATTAGAACCTAAATTTATATTTTCTCACATTCTATTTGTGTATGTAGAATATATCTGAACTGATTATATCCAATTTAACTTATATTTAACGAATTGTATTTATTTGATTGAACATTGGTTATTTTTTTTCTTTCGATTACTTGAATTGATTGTTTGTATTAAATATTATAAATTTTTTAAATATAAATATGCATATTCTTATGATGAGCAAACTATTAATAAAATAATTGTTCGAAATTAAATGGATGAAAATGATGAGCAAAATATCAATGAAAAAATATTTTTTAAATGTAAATCTGCATTTTATTAGGTCGAGTATAAATCATTCAAAAATTAAGAACAATATATTTAATTTGCACAGAATTTGATTGTACCTCCAATTAAAAATTTCTACGTTCTCTTCTGACTATTTGGACAATTAATATGTACAAACAACTTAACTGATATTACTTTATGAATTTTTACTTTGGCTCTATGTATTAGTCTCATTTCTCTTACAAACTAATGAATTTTTAGTTATCCTATAATTTTTGAGCTTTGTACTTTTTAAGTTTAATATTAAGTGCTAATATTAAGGGTATTTTAAGTACATACCTTAATCATTACCAAAACTTTGGTTAAAGAACACCACATTTTAATTTCATGAACGGTCTATCACCTTTAGCCATCGTAATGTCCTAAACTTTTTTTAATCGCATTGTTTTACTCGACTAATATTAATTAGCGTATTTTGTCTCTGTTCTGTTCAAAATTTTCATTAAGAGGAAGGAAAATACTTATTTATCTCTTGTATTCTTAAATTACAAAATGACGGAATATTTATTCCTCGTTTTAAAGTATGTTAACAATTTTTTTAGATAAAAATCATCATAAAGCACAAAATTTGCTAATTAGAGTAATGTAAAAGATAAGAATGCAGTGAAAATTTAGGACCGTAATGTCTAAATGAATAAAGATTAATGACCTTTAATACAATTAAATGTGAAGTGTTTCTATTTATCTATCTATCTACATATACATCATTATTCACTATAGGCCCAGTTTGAGAGCGATTTTGCGAATTAATTTTTTGACCGTTAGGAGAAAAGTGGGGGCTATCTGTAAGAGTAGAAGTCAAACTTTATGACTAGAATAGTAAAATAAAGATCAAAAAATTAATTTTTTGGGGTGAAAAATCACTCTCAAACACCTCCATAATATAAATTCACTATAATATAAAAGAGCTTGACGAAAGCAAGGACACGTGTCAACAATTTATACAGTTAACATCCAATTTTTTCTCTTCTCTTCTTTTGCTATTCACACAATCATCACCTCCAATAAAGTCTCTCACCATTTTCATTTTTCAGCAAAAATTCCTCCTTCGTCTACCCTCCGTCCATTGGCGGATATAGCACATGGCGAGCACCTGCAGCCGCGCGTGCTGAATCCGTCGAATGCCATTTTTTTTTTTTTTGACAATAGATAAATATTTTAGGTTATATTTCTAATAATACACTTTTCATCTAAACATTTCATCTAGTCAAGTTGGTTAGCACTGGTTTTTACTTCTTGCATGTTCCAGGTTCGAATCCTCTATAAACCAATTTTTATTGTACAATTTTTTTAGCTCAACAATTTTTACCAAAAACTGATAAAAATTGGAATAGTTAAAGGTTTAACCAGCATGCCATTCTCTGAATTGTGAAAGTAGTGTTAACAAATTTATATAATTTAGATCTTAGTATATTTTAATGCAACAACAAAAATTTGAAGCAGTACTCTTCCTTTGAATTATATAAAACTTGACAACAATATCATTTAATGAGTATGGTCTATTCTTATAACAAAATTATATATATTCAATTTCAACAAGATAATTTTTATATCTTGTTTGAGTCCCATTTATTTCAAAATATATTTTATCTCTTTTATTTTTAATCATATACTTTTTAATAAAATAATATTACACACAAATTTAAAATTTATCCTTATTTTAAATTATATATTTTTCATCGAATCATTATTTCAAAATGTATTTTTTTACCCAAAAAAAAAAGACATCAAACGGTCGATCGCCCGTGCTGACTCTGGATCTGCCACTGCCTCCGTCTCTTTAACTTTATGCTCCCAGACACCCGAGTTTTCACTCTGTGTAAACCCAAACCCCATAGCTAGGTTAGTTGTCTCTTGTTCTCAACTTATTTTTATCTCTCTTTCTTCTCCAGTTTTTGATTTAGGGTTTTCCTGAGTTTTTTCTTTTTGTTTTTCCAGGTGAGGTTGAATCAAGGAAGGCGGGGTTTTTTTCTACACCGTCTTCTCATCCTCCTCTTTCAGGTAAATTTTTTCTTTTTCCGTTTGTACTTTTGGTGAAGCTTGCTTGTTTATTGGTTGCACGAAATTTCGGATATGGCTTTTTGAGCATAGAGAAGCAGAGTCAGAGACAGAGACTTCCATGTATAAGCACGGAACCTCCATTCTATATTTAGTCAAAGCTCACGCCACCACCATCGTAGTAGGCGAAATGGGCAGTAGTAAGACACGCAGATTCCACACGTCCCTTTTCGAAACTTCTGATTTTGTTGACATATGCATATCCGTATTTTATCTAGGGTTTAAGTTGCGGGGTGTAAATGCAATTTTGAGTTTTGGATCGAAAGTGAATTATTTTAGTTAAAATTGCTGTTGTATTTGTTAAAATTGGGTGTTCAGTATCTCAAAGAATCTGGATGGAACGAAGTTGGGGGCTTGACAGCATGCAGACAACCAAGAAGATTTGCTGTTTAGGTACTATTTCCAGAGATTGTACTCATACTTATTGGCATTTATATATTTTTTTTGAATGGATAAAGTTTTTTTTAAGGAAATCTAAGGTTGTCTGCATAGCAGTGAAATTGTTGGGTAACTTGGCTAGCTTAGAACATATATAGTAGTTTAATTGATTAAGACAAATGCCAGAAGCTTTAGTTTTTACAAAAGTGATTTTTTCTGTTCAGAAATGAATTTTTTTTGTTATGCTCACAAGTTGTTAATTTGCAGATTATGTCTAAGTTAGAATATGTTCATTGTAGTGGCTTTAGTTTGGAATAATTGAATACTCTTGATGCTACATGGGGGGGAGGATCAGTAAGACTGCTTTATTCTTTAATGGTGTACTCCGAAAGTTCCACACATAGAATGCTGTTGACTTTCCACAGAAGGTTTCCGTGTTAGCTTCTTTCTTCTACCTATACCGCAGTTGAAGCATCTAAAGGAAAATTTTGGTGTCTTTCTGTTCAGTAATGGAAGCAAAATCATTAAGCGAACAAATACCTAATGTTTCTGATATCTATGAGCCCTTGTTTAGGGTTTAATTTCAGCTGTATTTTATGAACTCTTAAGCCTTGACTTCTTATTTGTTCACAGATGAGCTCCAATTCCTCATCTAGGTAGTCACAGGGTGAATGTTCATGACAAGGCAGATTTCCATGACAAGTAATCATGAGGTAACAAGACAGTGATGACTTGGGAATTAATGAGTCAATGACAATAATTTCTACGTAATTTCATTCAGAACTAAAGTGGATAATAATTGGAATAGACTGGTGACTCTACATTAGTTTAAGTATTAGTATGTACCTAGGTCGTTGAACAAATCTTAGACATGAAGTCATAAGCTCGGCGATGTTTTGTATTTAGGCAGTTGCTTCAAGAGTTACTGAAGATATGAGTGTCAAGCTTGGCGACGAAGTTTGTTATACAATTCAATTTGAAGATGTCATCATAATGTGAGTGTCACTTATGTTTCTATCCAACATATCTTCAGTATGCCATCATAATAAATGATGGCATTTTAAACCTTTACTTGTATGGCTTCGCATTTCATTGTCATTGATTATTTTATAGCCATGAAGTTATTGATGTATGTTTTTATTCACATGGAATAATGGAAAGACTTCCATTTTTTGGCAGAACACGTTTTGAGAAGGATAAAATTTTTCTCTGATGGAGTGTTATGTGTTACTGGGAGAAATGATGGATGATCCACTCTTAAGCAAGTATAGGTAGGCTTATGCTTCTCAAAGAGTCCATATACTCACACATATAACACATGCAACTTTTCTCTTTTCTTCTCTCACAAAATCATTTGCACTAAATATTTATGTCCATAAAATATTTTTGACAAAATTTTGTTAGTTTAATTCAAGTCCACTTATCAAATTTTCAGTAATTATCATGAAAGTATTAACAAACAACAATCTGGATATAGCTGTTTTCCTGAATGCATCACTATTCAACATTAACTTCACTTCAAATGTTACTCTCCACCTTCACACGTTTTAACTTCTAATTGCACTTATTCCTTCATGGTTTCATTTCAAAAACTTCACTTTTCACCTTCTTAAGATATCATACATTTTTATTATCCTTTTCAGTGAACATTTTGAATTTTAATGCTGCTTAAATTTATCGGTACAAATGTATCTACAACTATCATCTTGACACATGTATGGACGCAAACTATTTCAGATTGTCGTTTACAGGTAAGACTTATCATCATAATAATGTGTTTGCACGGATGTGCGTTGCATATCTTTTCATTTGCTAATTTAATATCTATCTATATGTATACATGCCTCTCATTGTTATATATTATACATCTTTGCATTTTTCATTTTGTGATGGTAACACACTAAATCAAGTCTTTATGTAGATGTTGAACTCGCAACCTGGCCTTCCATTTCAAATGTTATACTTCTACACGTTCAAAGTGGAATTTTAAACTATTCCATGTTATTGTCAAATTTATGCATTTGAGTTTCTCAAATTGCTCCCATCTTAATTTACGTATTATTTTTAATTATAATTATACCCAATTAAGTACAAACTAGAACACGAGTTAATGCTTTCCAGGTTTCGAACAGTGTATCAAATTTGGACAAACTTTCAAGGATGTGCTTTATTGTTAAGTGATTAGGCTTAGCTTATATAGATAACTGTGAATATGCACTTGACATATTTGGTTCATTTTCTTTCTTTATGGGTCCCAACTTCTCTCAGGGATGGTGTGAGCGAATCACAGTTTGCTCGAGTTATGAGCGTTGAACAATATCTTCTCATACAAATCATTCACCATTGGTTCGAATCTGCAAAACATAAAATTTATGTTCGTCCAGTGTCGATTTTATTTACCACATCTGGGGCAAGTTTGGCCCTTTATATTGTTCTAATCATCACCCCTTTTATTGGTATGAATAAGATTATCATTTCTTTTGCAAATTGTTTCAAATATTCGAAATGGGTTTCTAGTTTATGGATTTGATTGGTTTTATTTGTTGATTTTTTGTTATAATGGCAGTTTTGTGCCCCTTGTATTACTATTACCTGAAGCATCTGGTGAATTATTTTTGGCTCGGATTGCTCACTTGTATTACTATTACCTGAAGCATCTGGTGAATTATTTTTGGCTCGGATTGCTCACTACTACTGTTGGTTTCATGGTGGGCTTCACTTGTGCATTCAGCAGTGGTAAACGATTTTGTTCTTCATTCATTTATTTATTTTCATGTCTTTTTCTAGAAATGAACTTTAAGTTGTGGCTTTATGATAAAATTTGCATACGATGATGCCAAGAAGATGGTAATATCCCCTATTTGTATAGTTTTTGTCTGCAGAATTTGTTCACCTTGCTTCTTTTGTACCAAACTGTTTATTTTATTTTGGGGGTTACTCAGACTTTAGAAATTGCATATATTAAACAATAGATATGATGGATTTCAAATTCTTCGATCTTTCAAACATTCTTCTCATGCAATATTTCTTCTCTCTCTTTTAAAACGGGGAGAGGAAATTATTTATGTGTTCACTTGTTACAGGAAAAGTATATGAAGGTTGTACTTCGTTAAATCTAAAAGTTATACCAGTCTGACTGGCATGAAACACAAGAAAAAATTGGATATCTGAATGTGAGATATAAGGAACTATGGAAAGTCCTATTCGAGTGTGTCTAAAATGACTTACCTTCGTCTTTTCATGTGAAAGCTTTCCCTTTTCCTGATAACTTGTGTATAATGGTTTACTGGCAATATTAAGGTTTCTGAAGTTAGATAAAGCTTCATTTATTTTGAGTATCAGAATTGTGAGCTATCAAATTTTAAGCCCTAAGGTCTCGTTAAAAAAGTGTTTTTGCTTTGAATATTGTTTGTCGATAAGCTATTCACAAAATAAGTAGGCTTGCTTTAGAATACTCAAGACTTTCTACATAAATATGATAGTGATTGCACTTTATGTTTAATGTATTTAACAAATGATATAAGATGTTAATGAAGGAAATGTTTAGTTAATTTGTTGGTATATTATAACTAATGGATTGGGTCTTTAAAAAAGACGCCAACAAGTCATCTCTGAAAGATTGAATACCCCGACCATGTCATGTCTTATGCCATGTTTTGACACATGGTACATACCTATCAAAGTTGGTCTTTTTTTATATATTTCACAAATCCTTTCCCTGAATGCATCAAGTCGAGTCTTAGTTTAACTAGTTTATCCAGGAAATATAAGGGTCCCCAACTGATTTTGTTTTGATCTTGCAATTTTAAGGTGATCCCATGTCCAAACTTCTCAAGCATTCGAGGGAGTTTTTATTAACTCTGGGTATTGCATATTTGAACTAGGCAAGGATTCAATTTAGCATATTTCCTCAATTCTCAATAAGAATTATTTAGTTCTACTATAATTTGATATTTTTTTATTTCCATATTCCTACTTTTGAAGGAAATTAGCCAAGCTCAACGGTACATTTCTCATTGTGAAAAAAAAAGGGTCAAAAATGATATTTGAGCTCACATAAACAGCCAAACAATTTCTTCAACTATTTTTGAAAACATTGATCTAAGAACATATCATATTTCTACTGACAAGGCCCTGCTCACTTAGATTGGTTTGGATGGTGTATGTGGGATGCTTTCTAAACTGAAGTTAATCCAATTGGAATCAAAGAGGGTCTTCAGAGGCTTGATATCTTAACCTTAATTACATATCAAAAGGTTTAATCGCGGTCGAATGTGACTAAAACTATCGGTCTCCTCAATCACACAAACTTAGATTTCATTTTCAGTTTCAAAGAAGGTGGGATTCCTCCTAAAATCCTTATCATAGATGATGGGTGGCAAGAAACTGCGAAGAACTTCAAAAGGAAGCCCAACGTCTTGTTGAAGGAACTCAGTATGCCCTCGCTGCAAGATCTTGAAAGCTTTTGTAATCCTTGAAAATCATGATATTAATAATGTTCTGTCACTAACTTTTGTATAGATTTGGAACAAGATTAATCGATATCTATGAAAATAGCAAGTTTAAGGGCTCCGAATCAGAAGGTTCATCTACTAATCTACTAATCTCAAAAGAGTTTATCCACACAATCAAAGAGAACTACCCTTTGAAGTAAGTTACCAAGAGTACTTAAAATGATCTTTATCTTTTGTTTCATAAAATGTGTAAATGCTAAAAGCTACTAGGTGATGAGGTATGTTTATATGTGGCATTTATGTAGCACGGACCCTCTAACTAGGGTAGCGTGTTCGTGTTCGACACTCTTTATACATTCTATAACAATCATTTTCCTTTCTTACTATGACTATTATATATTTATAACTCAAAGGTATTAGTAAATAACAAATAAGTATTCATATTTAAAAGATTTCAACAAAAAAAAAATCAATAATAAGTATAAAATTAAATTTAAACTATATAAATGAAGAATTTAATGAATGTTTCGACGATGTGTCGTGTCGGTATTTTTTTGAAAAATCATGAGTCGACGTATTCGACACATATTGTGTTGGACACACGTGTCCGTGTTGGTGCATCATAGTATGTGGCATGCTTTAGTTGGATGCTGGGGAGGGGTTTTCCGTCTTCTGAAGCACTAGGAAGTACAATACTAAGCTTGCTTATCCATTTCAATAGCTGGAAAATACAGAGAATATTAGAGACTAGCATTGGACAGCGTGGAGAAGTATGGAGTTCGAGTAATAAGACTCTGAAAAGGTGCATGCCTTTTACAATGACCTCTACAGCTACTTTGCTGATATTGGGAAAATTCAAGCCCCTATATCTCCATTTTTGCTCAAGAATCCAAGGTATTTTTAACATTTACATGTAAATATTGAATTAAATTAAATATTATTTAATTTACTTTTAAATTTGTGTTTATTATTAACCGATTTTTAATTAAATTCATAGTATTGGAGAAAAAAATCAAAGTGTATCGTTGTTATTTACTCAATGTCAGCTTACATGCTCGAATCAATCAGGATCTAGAAAAGAAAAGTACGTAATATTTTTACGATTTCATTGATGGTTGTGCTGTAAAATTAATGAATTATGGGTTTCAATGAGGTAAAATTGATTTTCTTATTGACTATCAGCTTTTTATTACTTCTAAATATTCCTAGATATGCATGAATGCTCCAAGATCATGTTTGATATCACTTGTTTAAGGTGATTTTTTGAAGACAATTATTTGTGTTGAAAGTGAAATCACTATTAAGAGATGGTGCTCAGATCGTGAATTGCATTTGGGGTTTCTTATTGAATTTGGAGATCATTTTCGACGTGTAATCCTTCATAAGTCAACACGAGAATTCTTGGTTTTGTAGACTTCTCTAAACATAAACTCTCAATTCACATGATAATTTTGCTTCAGTTTCTCTTGTAGAACGGGGCTTCAAATTTTCATATAATCAAAACGTGAGTCATGTCAAGACAAGTAGTAGCGGCGTATGGAAATCTATGTTTCTTTTGCCCTTCAAGATATATCTAAAAATCACTCATTTTAAATCATGGAATCATAAATAGAAGTAAATGTTGAGAGTTACACATCAACCAGTTATTTACGTCTCAATTTTCTATTCACGTTATCACATTTATGTTTAATATTAACATTAACTAACGTACAATGCATGTTCATCCCACTAGTGTGTGTGTGTGTATTATCGTGAATACAACCATCCAAACTATTTAAAGTTCTAAGAAATGAGATATCTGAAATTTTTTAATCAGAAATTATGGAGGGTGTAATGGCAATCTTCAAACAATAAAAGGGCTGTAGAAATGGGTTAAAAAAAAGAAAAAGAAAAAAAGAATCTTAAAATATTATTTCCAAATAAATATATAAAAAAAATAAATTTCATCAGTTAAAAAAGATTCTTTTTAAAAGGTTTCTACTTGTTGAGATTCTAGTTGTTATCAAACACGCTATCAGAAAGCATGAAAAGAATCACTATTTCTTTTCAAACTTCTTATAATTCTATGTGATATGCAGTTGATATTAGCACAACATCCATACCATTATTTTTCAAAACAGTTGACTAACTCAATATTAAAAACAACCAAACATGTTAAAATGGAATCTCAAATACTGGTTTAGTCGGAAAATTTCACGGTTGATTTCTATTTAATCCATTGCAAGGCTAAGACCTTTCGCGGCTCGCCCATAATTGGGGAGTTCAACGTGAGACTATGAGTTCATACGTTTGAATCTCACACACGTAAAATGCATATCTTATGAGTTCATAAGCACTCGTCTCTCTTCGACCCAGTTTCCAGAGCAATTAGTATCTAAATCGCTAGTGTTTTCGCTCGAATTACTTTTCTCTCGACCAGGATTAATACAAACTTAGAATCACAAGACAAAATGTGCAAATCTAAAACTTGTACAAAATATACAAAAGAGGTTTTTGTACATTATTATACAGTCTACGGAACCCTAATCCTTTATTAGGTAGACCAAATCTCCATCCCCTCTTACCCCGAACTCCTTGGACAAAGCTTGACACTTGCCAAAGAAAGTACCCTCGTCGACTATAGCTAAGGTAGGAAAAAAAAATAAAAATGAAATAAAATAAAAATTCTATTAGCTGAACAAGTTTACGTTCCCAAGAAAGTTTTTAATCAGCCTTTCTCAACCAAGCCATAGCCATGAGGCTCAAAATTGTAGCACAAGCTACAGCACCAAGGCTTCTCTCCATGAGTACAATTTGTACCGAATACAAGGCAATATCTGATGTAATCTTCCTTCCCTCCTTAGCAAGAACTCGACGCCCTTTCCCGGCAAATGCCAAAAGCACCAGCACCGTTATCCACATAACAACGGTGGTTCGTACCACAAAAACAAGCATTACTGCTAGAAGAAACACGGCAACAAAGGGCACAATCAACGCGTAATAGCTCGTACGGTAGTCGACCGACGAGAGTATTACGTAGAACGAAATCAAGAAACACGATAGGCATGCTGAGGTTTTGGATCTGGACATGTAGTTCATCTACGCTGTGGGTTGTTCATGTAATGAATGAGAGGATTCAGGAAAGAGAGCAGTGACTTTTTGGGGGTGTTTTGATATGGGAATTATTTGTTATTTTGTTGGGAAGGAATTGAAAGCCATGTGATGTTGCACATGGCAAGGTTGGCAAGCAGTGGTACGAAACATAGTAGTTTACTAACTTCCAAGAACATTAAATTTACTAGTGTCTACGTTTGAGATAGTGTAGATTAAGGGTTTTGCTAGAAATCCCGGGCCATGGGATAAGTGGCTTTACTCGTAGATTAATTAGACTCCACAGATCGAGGCCACCAGTCCTAGTCAAGGTTCAATGGCGGGCCAATTAGACTCCACAGATCGAGGCTACCCATCTTAGTCAAGTTTCGATGGCGGGCCAATACCAACCTTTACCGATGTACTTGATTTTTTAAAATACTAATTTATTTGTTAAGTTTATTATGATTCCTCTTCTACTAGGGTGATTTGTATAAGATTTAGCTCATGTTTCGTGAAACTTAAAATTCATAATTTACTCTAAATCATAGTCAACATTTTATTTTCATTATACATTTTATAGGATTTGTAATTTTTCAACCACACTTTTCATCAACTTTAATCAAAATTATTTCCACACAAGACAGATTTTCAAATAAGACGGTTTAAATTCAATCTAACAAGTATTTCAACCACACTTCTTTAACATGCGTGTGTATTACGTTATCTGCAGCAGTGCCAACTGTGTAATATAGGTCCCGTTTGGGAGGGATTTTGAGAAATTATTTTTTGACCGTTAGAAGAAAAGTGGGGTTCACCTGTGAGAGAAGAAGTCGAAAATTATAGCTGGAATAATGAAATAAATGTCAAAAAATCAATTTTTGGGGTAAAAAATCCCTTCCAAATATGCTCATATTTGGGATCCAATGTCAACAAATTAATCCTTTGTTACAATAGATCTCAAATAGGTCACACGTCTTTCTGTCAATCCATTTGAAGGGTCCAAAACAACTAAATACGTAACAAGCACAACAGTTCATATTAATTTGGGCTCTAAAAAATCTAAATATAGAAATATTTACACGGTTAGAAAAAATTCCTAATTATTAGTGCTTCCAGCAGTTCAAAATCATCATGCACGCAATGGCGTGTCTATAAAGAAGAAATATTCGAAAATTTTCGACTATCCAGTGAACAGAAATGGAAAACCAAATTCCATCAGGATCTAATAACGCAATGAAAGAATTCAGTCCAATTATTTCTCAAGACATTTGCTTAAGAAATTCCAACATGCAGAAAGCAAAGCAAAAATAACAGTTACTTTATTCGGAGTAAAACATAAACAGAAGTTGGGGTTCTGGCAACAAGAAAGAAAAGAGTAGATAATTTATGGCTTCTGAAGAACCAGAGCAGCGTCCAAGAACTCCTCAATCCCTCAATTACAAGGAAATGGGACGCAAGTTTCATGAGAAATGAAATCATAGCTGCTGATTCAGGTAAGAATTTTCATTTGATTGTCTAGAGGCTCCACCCAAGTATTCTGATACGGTTCCAGTAACATTTGAAACAAAACTGTTCAACCAGGATGTGCTTCGTGTTAATATACTGGTTTCTGGCTGTTCCTGCGCTTCGAGCGAGTTCCTTCGCTGTTCCTCCATCACCATGTCGACCCATCTTTTAGTCATATAATTCTTGATAGCTTGAACTCCTTCATTCACGACCTCCTTTGGAGGTATTGCTAGAGGGTTTTGGTCAACGTTAAGTTTAATCAGATTCTGAAGCCGGCCAAATTGGTCGGGCAATGCATGGATCTGGTTGTTGCTCAAGTCAAGTTCTTTCAGGCTCGTTAGGTCAGCAATTGTATCAGGAAGTTCAGTTAGGTCACTGAAGTTACTGCTTAGGTTGATGATCTCGAGATTTGTCAATCTACCAATTGTAGGTGGAAGACCATGGAGCTCGTTGAAATGCACGTCTAGAAGGCGCAAAGATTTCATATCACCAATAGATTTGGGAAGAGATCGGAGTTTGTTCAGGTGGATTGAGAGCTTTTGCAGATTCACCAGCTCGTACCCAATATTTGTTGGCAAGTAAGTCAGTTTGTTGAAACTTGCATTCAATTCTACTAATGACCTGAAAAAGAAAAATCTGAAAACCTAAAGAGCAACTATGGAAAATAAGTTATTTAGCAGTAGACAAATTTTTTTATCCACACATTTCATAGGATCCATAACTTAGTACACACTTATTATTCACACATTCCGTAGACGCACAACTTATAAGCACTTAAAAGT